AATGGCAACTCAATCGGAAATAGTAACGCAATGGAATTAGTACCGCGGATCTGAGGAGCACTTCTGGTAGAGAAGTAGCTCGCTCAGCGCTCGAGATAGAAGTGTCGGATTTTGGAACTGGACCCGAGGTCCCTCGGTTTGTGCGGGTCAGGGATGGAAAGGGTTGAACCAGTGGTGGTGTTTTCCGGTGGTGAGAAGTGGCGTCTTGGCCATCTATCGGCGTGCTCATGAACTTGGTTGTGGATCGGTCGGTAAAAGTTATGCTTTTAGCCTAAGGCGGTGTGGTCGTGATTTAGTATCGGTATAGTAGTTGCTTATTTTATCTAAGGTGGGTAAAAATTTAGCGCGGGGTAACATCTCCCCCTTAAAAGAAAAATGTTGGACTTTGTTCCAGCATTTTCCTAGAGTACGGTGTTGGGGTGTTTTTCGCTGGAGATCGTTTTCATGTCCTCTTCTAGCAGCTTTCGTAGCTCCTTGTAGTTCCTTGTCGCTTCGCTCGTGCTGCAGGGGTGCAATCCTTGGTTTCGGGTGAGGGGTCTCGGATCATCCTCTTCGGTCGTGGGAAGGGCGAAGGGAGATTGACGAGTTCTATCGTTGCTTCTGGTGTTGTATCGTCTCGTCCCTTTGTGGAGGAGGAGGTTAGCGACTGAATTCCAAAAGGCTCCGAGTAGGTGTAGGCTCCACCCGTAGATGGAATGTAATGCGTATCCATGTATAATTGTATCTATTATTAGTTTCATGAACTTCATTATCATGAAAATGGCTAGTACTCCTGCGTTGGCTGAGCCGAATATGACGAAAGTTTTCCAGAGTCGTGCACCTACGCTTTCTGCTATTTGGTTTAGAGATTCTTCGTCCAACAGGTTTGTTAAGGAGAGGTGAGGCGGGGCTCACGTATTTCCATGCGGGTTTCGTGAGTGGTTGGATGATTGGTGGTGCTATTGTTTTCGATGGCTTTGGCGAGAGTTTGTACCAGGTGTTTAATATTTTATACATCACTGGTAGCAGTTCGTTGCAGTCCCTCGGGGTTCCTGTTTTAGTAAGTATTTTCGATCTTGGTTGCAGAAACAAGGATTTGTTCTGGTAGGTAACGGAGAGTTATTGTAACAAGCTTCGGTATGTCTGATCCGGCATTCCACGGGGACGCATTTGATGAGGTGAATTACTTCTCTTGAGGTAATGGCGATATAACCTGGCGACTTCATTATTTTGTGTGCCATTTTGTCTGGGGTTATGCTCGCGAGGGTGAGTGCGTTTTGTAACACTTGCCTCTCCAGCACGCATTTTTGTTCCATTATGTCTCGGTATAATTGAGTTAGCTGAGTTTTTAGATGTTTTTCTACGTAAATTTTCTACGTTTTCTACGAACTTGGAATTTACGTAGGAGAAGATATCTAAGTTATCGATAGATGTTTTAGCACGGGTCCGGAATACTCGTCCTGATTGGGTGTCGTGGATGTAGAGTTTTGGGTGCTCGGTTTAGATGATTTTGTATCCGCATATACTTTCTTCTCCCGGTGTGCGCGCCAGCGCGAAGATTGTGTCTTGCGTGGTTATCGTGTACACTATAGGTGAGTCGCTCCTTATGATTGCTGGTGTCAGTTGGTAAGCCGGGCCTTCATAGAGTACGTCGTATCGACTGAACTGGCAGTTGTCTCGTGGTAGTACGTTCCAGTAGGTCGTGGTTCCATCTGCATCGTTACATTTCCCGGTCGTTGCACGGTATCGCGCTCCAAGAGGTAGGATGATTTCGTTATTGGCGTATTTGATGGGGAGAGTCAATTCTCCCCGTGTGGTTATTCTCACGGATGCTTGTACCACTACGTCGTCCCATGTGCCGTAGGAGTCGTTGAACTGCGAGCCCTTACAGCTGCCATCTACTCCTATATTTCCTGCGTAGGTTAGACTGTGTGAGGAAGTGGAATTGATTTTGACCTCAGAGATAAGTGCGTTATTGCCCAGGAATATGGTCCGGTGTCGTGTAACTTTTTACAATTTTCTGCAGATATTTCGCGTATGTAGTCTCATTTTCCATGTGTACTACGGATACGTGTGAGTACATCCCGCAGTAATATATGACTCTGTCAATTTCAATCTTGCATTGGATGGCGTGTGTATGGTCGAATTCGCTTAGCTGAAGTAGCTGTATGTAAGCCTCTTCCTTCTGTGGTTCTATATCGTCGACTTGGTACTCCCCTATATCTAGAAGTGATAGGGATGTTATGTTTAGGTCTCGCTCTCCGCAATCGTATCCTACCATACATAGGATGGGTGTTGCCAGGAGGAGCAGGGTTGCTATAACGATCTTCATCATGGCGACACTGGGGCTGAACTGGCCGGTCCTCCGTCCGGGTGGTCATTATATTTGTTCGGTTTAGTTACGGAGGGAGGTGGTTGGGGCGTGGCGAAGGCGTGTTTTAGTTTATCTTAGTGGACTATCCTACTTTTGTGCGTGCTAATGACTATTTTAACGTTGTGATTTCCTAATATTTCCAGTATCTTATACGGGCCTACGTATTGGTCGCCGAGGTTCCCTTTCTTAGGTTCTTTGAGGAGATATACATTATCGTTTACCTTAAATTTGCGCGTACAAAGCTTTCAGTCGTAATACATCTTTGATCTGATTTTTGCGGCGATTAAATGTTCTCGCGTGTTTTGTTGGGCGTCTTTAATTCTATTAAATAAAGTTGTCAGGTATTTCGCGTAGCTCTCGTTTCGTTCGTTTACTTTGTCAATTTCGCTCGACGGTACTCTAGCAGCTTTACCGAATACTAGTTCGAACGGAGTGTAACGGGTTCCCTCGTGAACGCTAGTATTATATGAAAAAGATGCCAGTTTTAGACATTTGTCCCATTCATTGCTCTTGTCTACGTATTGTTTTAGGTATTTCCCAGAGGACTTGGTGTGAACGCTCGACGAACCTGTTTGCTTATGGTCTATATGCCGTGGTTTTATAATGTTGTATTCTGAATTGCGGGCTATGTTCCGCATGAGACTATGTAAGAAATGTGTGCCTTGATCCGTGAGGATGGCTTTGGGTGCGCCGAACACGCACACGAATTCCTCAGTAAAAGCGTGTGCTACTTGTATAGCACCAGCGTTCTGGAGTGGAATAGCTAACGAATATTTTGTCAGAAGATCTTGTATAGTTAGAATATATTTTATTATCTAATCGCGTGGTGGGCAGAGGGCCCATGATATCCATAAATATTTTGTCGAAGGCAGAGTCGGGGGTGTCGGTTAGTGTCATTGGTTGTTTAGTTTTTACGCGTACAAATTTTTTTAATTGGCAGGGTCGACAGCTCTGTACAAATCTCTGAACGTCCGCTTTCATTCTAGTCCAGTGGTAGCGTTTCTTTAGGCGATTATATGTCTTAGTGATGCTTTTGTGTCCACCTGCGGCTGAATTATGAGTTTCGGTAATAAGTCGCGGTCGGTCACTCTCGGGGGAAATGGTTATCTCGTTCGCGCACGCGAAGACCTCCACCCTATCTCCAAGTATTCGCGAGAGAAGGGAGCGCACGATTTCCCAGGGAACATTGTCGCAAGCGCTCTTGGCTAGAGAGATGGATTGCAACCCTAGTTCGGTGACGACGTCTAGGAGGGATCGGATGGCTTCTTTTTCGATGAGTGCGGATACTCTATCTTTTACTACACTAGGGTTATAATTTGGCGGTTTCCTTCGGGGTTTACTCGCGCTCTCCCGAGAGGGGCGTACCTGACAGCTAGTAGTAGTTCTGCTTCTGCGAGGGCTTGGGCTCCTGACCCTATCGGTTTACCTTGCTGAGTGGTGAAGACGACGAGATTATCTGGTCAAGGTTAAGAAGTTATCGGGGACGTGTATAATTTTGAAGGTCTTCGATCGCTTGGGTTCGGGGGTTTCGTTGACGTCGTCATGTGATTCCTCGGAGCTGTCTAAATCCGAGCTGTCATCGTTTTCCGTGTATTCGTCGGTGACGTCAGGAGTGGGGGCGCGTTTCGACGTTGCTTCAATCTTCTTTTGCCTCGTATTAGGTTTGTTCGTTTTACCTACACTTTCTCCACTTTTGTAGAAAGTGTACACTATCACGTTTCTTTTAGAAGAAGTGACGTCAGAGTACGCTGTTCGTTTTGCGAGTGTAGCTACACTATAGTGGCGATTTCCCTATACTTTTTACACTTGGTCTTGAGGAGGTGTGAAATTTGTAAAAAGTGTATACCTACGATTCCCGCGAAATATAACCTATGCATGATTAACACCAACGAGACCTGAACATCGAAGAAATATTTACCGATAAAACCTTTATGAAACAGCTATTACATTATTAAAATGAATGCATTTATGATGTTAAAAGATGTTCATTAATGACATTTTTAATATTTTATATTAACACATATTTTAGCTGTTCACTATGCAAAAAGAAAATTTGCAAATAGTAACATTTGCAAGCATTGCTCGAGATTCCAAAGGAAATTGTATTGTCGGCGGTAACAAAATTCTCTGCACGTCCAAAGGTTAGAAAAATATATTATTATTCATAGAAATTATTCAATATAAATTATTCAATATAGAAATTATTCAATATTCAATATATATTATTATTCAATAGAAATTATTCAATATAGCTAATTTAATTGCAATTTCAATTATTGTCAAAACTTTGGTACGTTATTTTTCAAATCAAGATTTTTATTTTATTATTATTCAATTTTATAATTTTTTTATTATGATAAAAATTAAATAATCGTGTGTTTGAGTATTTATAATTTATTGCCTTACGTTTTTTGGTATATTAAATTGTTTAGATGGATTGAAGTTCTTAATTCCTAAGAATTCATTATCATTGGACGTCAAGGCAATGATCTGCCCAGTTGAGGATGAACTGTATCAGATTCAATTAGATAATTTAAATGATAAAGCAAACAATGCATCAAATATTGACATTGCTGATGAATCATCTACTTCAGCAACAACAAATGATATTGACACTGCTGATGAAACATCTACTTCAGCAACAACAAATGAATCTGCCATAATTAAAAGCAATCATGGTGCTGATTCTTCATTTTCATGGAGTAATGAATCTACTAAATATTTTTTATCTTTATATCGAGAGAATAGAAAACTTGTTCCATCCAGAAAGTTGAAAACATTAAAATCAATGTGGATTCATATTGCTAATACGATGACAAAGTCTGGATATAATGTCTCCCCGTCTACAAGTTGAAAACAAATTTAAAACGATGGAATGGGCATATAAGAATATGGTGTCAAACAATAAAAAAACAGGAAGAGGACGGGCAACATGTAGTTACGAAAGGTACATAGTCAGTAGTCTTGAACTGATGGAAAAATGATGATTGAAAAGATATCGAATCAAAATGTAAAAAATATCTATTTGACATCGTTTAGACATCTTTTCAATTATCATTTCTCCCTGAGAAGTTTTTTTAAAAGTGATTAGTATTATATAATCTAATATTTGACCTAATACTGACTTAATACTTGACCTAATATTTTATCTAATACTGACATATTGTTAACAATGAACTATCCGAAATACTGGGAAATAAAAACATAATATCTTACCTCTCGTGACTTCTTCAAATGATGGTTTAAAAATTCGCACAAACACAATAAATCTAACTACTGGTGTAAGTGCACCGCAATCAATACTCCATCCGTAAGTATTGCAGTATCTTTTTACTGAAGAATAAAATTTTTAAAACGAATTGAGTTTCCAATTAATTATTAATTGTGTTAATGGTTTCATTTTTTATATATAGACTGCAGTCATTAGCACACAAGAATGTGACGGATGACGTAGCAATAACTGATGAAACTCCGATAGTTTACGAAAATCTGGTCGACGATTTGTCCTCTTCTAGCAATGCCTCTGCCTCATGTAAAACAGTCCAGTTGAGTTAAACTTTTGTTTAAGTGCTAAAATATTTAAAATTGCTTTTGATAACGTACAATATTCTGTTACAATACTTTTGAAATTACTATAGTGCCAAAAACAATTTTTAATCGTGCTTTATATATTACAGAAAACAGAAAACAGGGAGCACAGCGAAATTAATAGTTTCATGCCAAAAAGCTTAGAAGATTTAGCAGCTGACCGACGGGAACAGACATAAAAAAAGAAGATTTCTGCAAAGAATTTCGTAATTATATGAAAAAAATTATTGAACAGCGTGAGGTCGCGAATAATCTTCGAGAACGTAAAAACGTGTTAATGGAAAATTTCATTACAACGATGGAAAAAAAATGCATGCTTACATTAAGGGTGGAAGAAACATATGTTATCGTATTTTATACGATTTTTTAATTTTATTACGACTGTGATTTTAATTTTTAAGTTATAAATATTTTAAACAATAAAGTTCATAAACATTAAAAGTTATAAAGTTACATTAAAAAAATAACGTTATATTCAAAAGATTTTTTTTATTTAGTATCTCAAAAGTTACAAAAATGTAAGAAGCAATTTGGCAAAAATTACTGTAAAAGTTCTATGTCTGGTATAAGTATTGTGGTTGTGATGAATTTTATATTCACATTAAAATACGTGATTTTATTTCTCTTTTTAGTAATAAAAAATGTTAAAAGTATAATATATTATTGTAATAAATTTTATTTGTATGTTAAAATACATTATTATAAAATACATGATTATAAAATACATGATTAATATACATAATAATACATTTTCTATATTGTTGTCCTTTGTTATATATTTTGTTTCTGCTATTGCATAGCTAGTTAACGGCATATTTCATCTCTAAGATGTCGTCCCTCATAATTATCTTTTATCATTTCAATATTATCGTTAATTGGAAAATGTCTTGCTTCATCATCAGGATAATCATCTGCAATTGGATCGTCGAATAGTCTCAAATCGTTTTCGTTTGCTATGTTATGCAGCACACAGCATGCGTGGATGACTTGGACAATTCGAATCATATTTCTCAATTTTAAATGGTACAGTTGACGGAATCGTTGTTTTAAGGCATCAAATGCATTTTCGATGACGACACGACAAGAACTTAACTTCTGATTGAAGTTTCTTTGTGCTCGCGTAAGGTGACCGTTGTCTCTGTACCATCAAATGTTTCATGCAGGAATAAGCACTGTCTCCAAGTAAAAAACCATCATCTATAAACAAATAAAATATGTACATATTGACTGGTATTCATAGTTTGAGTCTTATATTTTTCTAATTCTTTGTCCTTGACTAAAAAAAATTACCTGTCTCCGCAAATATCATCTAAGCTGTTAAATAAAGAGGATTCTCGTAACACTCTGGCATCGAACCTGGGTATCCTATAAAAACGTCAATGAACCTTCTTCGGTGATTTGCCACACCTTGCATTTAGATTGAGAAGTATTGCTTTCTATTTATATATGAATCTTTGTCATATAAAGGTTTATCAATTCTGATATGCGAACCATCAATAGAACCTAGATGAGTGATAAATTAAATAACGTTATTGAAAGTAACACTAAAGGGCTACAAAAGATATATTTCCAATTACATATTTGGTTTTACCTATGATTCCAGGAAATCTTTTTTCTTCTAAATAATGCTGCTTTGTTAGATTCCTCTCTTCCAGTGAAGGAAATTTTATAATATTAGGTGCAATTGATATTAAGAATGTCGTTACTCTGGATATTATTTTGTATAAAGTGCTCAAAGTAACACCAAATCTATCTGCCACATCTCTGTAAGATGCAGTTTGGTGTCCTACAAACCACAAATAATACAAGATGTGTTTCTCTGGTGACGTAGGTTCAAAACCAGCAGAACCTTAATAATAACATGAAATAGAAGAAAACGTGTTACTACTAGTAAAAAGATATCTTATAAATAATATTTTTTTAAATACTTCTTAAAGATGTGAATACTGGAGATCTTTCAAAGCGATTTAATCAACGTATATGCAACTTCTCGTGACAATCGAAAGTGCATGATGAAATTATTTTCGTTGTAATTTCTTGCCTAATTTTCTACATAATTCATAACCTTTACGCGTTGTATTCTTACAATTTCTTGTAAGACTGGTTGCATCAAGTTTTCAATCATGTCGAAATCTGTAATAAATATTGTACGCATCTATGGTAATTGTATATCTTGTCCCAAGTGTTATGTTGTAACAATGTGGAATATAAGTAAGAGTTTCACTCACTTTAAACAGATACACAAAAAGGATTTTTTACATATTTTTTAATTTCTTTATTCATGTGTGGTTAAAGTAGACTTATATTGAAAGAGTTAAATGTTACAAGCAAACCTCTTATCATGTGAACTGTTGCAAATAATTTTACTCTCATTATCTTCGACCATGAAATGTGGATCAGGAATGTTTTCGTCATCGTCGGAAGAATCCATTAGCATGTAACAAATTTCACGAATTCCTTCCATTGTCATTGTAGAGAGGACGTGTTTTTTAGCTTTGTTTTTCATAGGTTATGGTTCGCTGCGCATGCAAACCGCCATTTTTATTTCACACTTTCGCGTTTGTGCTATCATCGCTACACTCGAAAATTCATTCTATACTTAGTGTACACTATCCTAAATCTCTCTACATTAGTGAGTGTAAAAGTGTAGGTAAAACGAACAAACCTATTGTACGGTGATCGGTGGGGGCCTGGTGGTATCGTACGTCGGATTACTGGAAGAACTCGCGTGTCTCCGTGTGTTAGTTTTGCGCTAGCTTCTGCAGAGTTTCTTGAGAGGGCATCTGCATTAATGTTGATTTTACCTACCTTGTATATAACCTCATATTCATATTCGGCTAACTTTAGGCGCCAGCGTACTAGCCGGGACGTGGGGTCTTTAACGGAGTGTAGCCATACCAGTGGTTTATGGTCGGTGACAAGCGAGAATTTCCTACCGTAAAAGTATGGGTGGAAATGATTCGCGCAGTAGACAATCGCCAACAGTTCCTTTTCTATCATAGAATAATTTTTTTCTGCGTCATTTAATAGAGACGAGACGTATATGCGATGGGAGCGCCATTACCAATTGGTTCCTGGCTCAGTATACCGCCGATCGCATAGCCTGATGCGTCAGTCGTCACAACAAAAGGCTTAGTGAAGTCAGGGTATTGTAGGACTGGTTCGGTGCAGAGGGCGTTCCGTAGCTTGCTCTTGTTCCTCCTTCCAGTTAAATTCTTCATCTTTCTTGAGGAGATCCGTGAGGGGTCGTCTATCTTCGAAAAATTAGGGATGAATTTGTGGTAGTATCCCGCGAGTCCCAAGAACTGTTTTATATTCTTTGCATTAGGTCGAGGGAATTCTTTTACCGCATGTACTTTGGGTTGGTTTCACACCGTCTCTCCCGGTGATATGTCCCAGGTATCTAACCTCCTTCCTCAAGAATTCGCATTTGTCAGGCTGTAGCTTAAGGTTGGCCGCGCGCAGTCGTTCGGCTAGCCTATCGAATTTGATTTTGTGCTCGCGCAACGAGCTCGCGTATAGGATGATATCGTCTAAGTATACGAATAGTTCCGTCCCTTGTAGTCCCGTTAATGCCTGGTCCATTAGTCTTTCAAATGTGGCAGGAGCATTCTTCAGTCCGAAGCATTCTGGTGAATTCATAATGGCCGTGGGGGGTCGAGAATGCGGTTTTTTGTGCGAGTGCTTCATCCATGGGTATCTGGTGGAATCCAGATGCGAGATCGAACACGCTGAAGTATTTAGCGCTGCCCAGCTGGTCTAATATCTCCGTGATATTAGGCAGGGGGTAGGCGTCTCCGACAGTTTTCTCATTCAAGATTCGATAGTCGATGACCATATGCTATCTTTTGTTACCTTTCGAGTCTGCTTTCTTGGGCACTATCCATAACGGGGAATTATATGATGATTCCGACGGGCGTATCACGTCATTATCTAATGGCTCCCTTACTTGCTTGTCTATTTATTCCTTGTGGACAGGGGAAAACGGTATTGTTTAGTGTGAATCGGTTGCTCATCCGTAGTGATTCGATGAGCGACGACAGAGGTGTGGCCCAGCCTGTCGCCTGGTAGTCGAAATAGGTCACAATGCTCGCCAATGATTGAGGCAACATTTTCGGATTCCTCCTGGTTTAGGTATTCCAGGCGGAGTAATTTCGTGATCTTATTAATTCGATCTTCGGTATCTTTTGTTTCTTCATTGTTCTCGCAGAGATTGTTAAAACTCCATGGGCGGTTGTCGTTTGATCTTGTTAGTCACTCGTTGACATTTGTTCAATTTCTTGCAATTCTATTGTCAGTACTACTAGTTCGTGATCTATGTCATTGGTGTTGATTATCTGCAGGTAGGCTATACCATCTCTGTTCTCGACTACCACATCTCCCAGGTATATTCCTTTGCATACTTTCAGGCGGGGAATGTATTCAATTTGTACGCTTGGGTTTTTTACTTTGATGTAAAACGTAGCTCGTGATCGGGCAGGTATGACTATGGTGTCTCGCAGTGAGAAGGGGATCCGTATTTTTTGCCAATAGACTGCCTTATTCTCGAGGTCAATTATAGAGACGTCTTCTAGGAAGTCAGAGCCCAGTATTCCTTCCTGCGTTATCGGAAAATTGTTCGGTACTACCTGTAATTCTATTGAGTAGCCCATGTAAGAGGTTTCAATCGTTCCATCCTTATTCTCTCCTTCGTTATACCGCTAAGGTATACGTTTTCGTCCCTTATAGTCACCCCGGGGCGGACACTTCGTTGTTTAATTAGGTTTGGGGCTGCGCCGGTGTCTATCATGAAGTTAGTTTCTTGGATCAGATCGTCAGTGAAGAGAGTGACTGTGGGTGCGCGAGAGCGTCCTCGCCGGCTTAGATTCTGTATTCTCTTCCATTAGGTCGACTCCTATCGAGTTCCCTGGTTGGGCGAGGTAGCGGTGTCTGGACCCCTTGGCGACGCTCGCCGGTCCAGTTCTCGGGGCCCGTCGTGTTTCCCGCTTGCGAATTTCTCAGGGCGTTATTGTATTCTCTTTTTCTACATTTGCTAATATCGTGGCCTATATTCTTACAATAGCGACACACCTTCGGTTCGGGTCTTGTGCGTATCATAGGTGAGGGTAGGCTATCGAAGCGTCTAGAGCGCTTTTCCTGTCTCTGCGTGGAGTCGGGGAGCGGACGATCGTTTCGCCACGCGGCTTGGTTTTGTGCATGGTTCTCACTTTGATACCGAGCGCATGGGGGTGGAACGTAAATATTTGGTTGAACAGAGTTCCGTGCGACGGGATAGGCTTCGGGTTTGCGGGTCGGTCTATCAATCCGTGAGTCCTGCCAGTCGTTGCCTCCATAGCGGAGCTTGTCTATCTCCTGTCTCTTCGC